AGTGCTGCAGCAACTGCTGCTGCTCCAGCCTGAGCAGCAGCTCGGCATCTTCCATACTCTGCAGTCCCACCTGAGAGACAAGGGCATCCTCCCACCTGCTGCTGTCCAGGCCGAGTGACGCGGCACCACCTCCACAGGGCGATGACCTGGGAGCGTGCGAGACGGTTTTCAAAGTTGGCGTAAGCATGTACACGCAGGCACGCATGCAGAACAGCCGTATGGTATGTGTGTGATTTCTGGCATATATTGGAGCATCCATCGTCATCCTGTCGGCTCTTCGTTCAACTTCCAATCAGCTCAAGATCACAACTTTGAACCTGAGGTGACTACAAGGAACAATCTAGTAGGAAAGAAACTAAAAACAAAAAGGAAAAGAAAGGTGGCTGCGTTGCTTTTCACTTGGACCGGCATCAGCTGCAGCACGCTTCACGAGTGAACGGGCCGCCGTCATCCTTAAAACACACACTGAAGAAAAAGATGTACTCGCTCAACAACAGTGACTGTAAAGCACGCAGCTTTCTCAGTGGAGGGTCGACGTGCAGATTCGCTGTGGACGGCAAATATTGCACTACATTTAGATTTTAAAAATGATTTAAGAAGCTTTTACCAGCATAAACTGGGCCCAAAGTGTTGAGCACGTGGACCTGAGTTACAGCAAACAGACCTGGGTGTGGGTGAAGTAGTGATGCAGCAGGGTTGTCAAACATACTGCTAAATGAAGCCATGCTTAGTCTCCACTTCCACAACATTCAGCTTTTAGGTTTCTGACTAAATCTAAAATAACTCGCACAATAATAGTCAAACGACTGTAGGCATGTTAACAGCATCAGCTGCACACTCAGCACTCGAATAATGTTGTACATAAATCTACTGAAACTATTTAGCAATCAATGCATATAATATATTACTACTTTATGTGACCTGCTGCAGAAAAAGACTTTTAAGCTATGAGAAGTGATATGCAAAAAAAAAAGAGATGTAACTCATTTGTAGCTTTGAGCATGAAGAAATTAGATTTTTAACAGGTAGCAATGTAGAGGTGTTTGGGTGACCCTTTGCTTGACTGTAAAAAAAAAAAAAAAAAAAAAAAAAGATAATTTAAAGGAATAGGTTGAATAGTGGTTTGTGGGAAATATAGTCAGTGGTTTTCTGTCTTTGAGCTGATAAAAAGATCAGTAGCACTGTCCTCTCTGTCTATAAGCACAGCAATACAGTAGAAAATATAGAAAATATTATAAAGATCAATGGAAAAGTTTTTAAAAAGTCACAAATGTGGAGCAGCAGAACATAGTTTTATAGTGTCATTACTATACCTATTATATAGCACCAAATCACAACAGCAGTCGCCTCAAGGCGCTTTATATTGTAAGGTAAAGACTCTACAATAATACAGAGAAACCCCAAAAATCCCACATAAACGTCACACGAGTGGGCAGGAACAGTTTCAAACAGACTCGTATGCAAGTGTAAAAGTTATTGTACTAATTTCTCTCCTTTACGACTCATTTCCCTTGTTCCGGGTTTTTCCTGGTTTGTTATGGGCCGTTTGGAGATGAGAATACCTGCAAGGCAACGCTAAATGCATAGCTTACTTTTTCCCAAAAGAAAGAGGAAGCACGTTTATATTGAAGTCACTGCCTATTTGGAATCTAGAGTCAGTCTAGCAACTGGTTTATTCGTCGTTTGTCTATTTCGACGTTTCACTTGAGCAGTTTTGGATTTGACTTTAAAAATGTAACCAGAGGCGCAGCGCCTGACTCAGTCCAGATTTGAATCCATGATGTAACTGAAATAATGTTTTATCGTTCTAGAGATTGGACAAAATTGCACATTTTATATCCCGACAATACAAATGCATAATAATTAATATAAGAAACAGAAAAAATTGTGATGTTCAAGAAAATTCCAGAAATTAGTCCTAATCCCCACCCTGATATCTGGATCCACAGACATATTCGTCCATGGCAGTGAGGTCATTTCCATCCTCACAAAAATCCTAAAACGCGCACTGTACAGATTAGATTACACAGGGAACAACTTTAAGTTGGTGGAAAACTGCAACAGCCTGCAAAGCTGCCCTCTGGTCTCTGTATCCTTACTCCTTACTCTGCAGGGTTGCTAATTAGCAAGTCAGTGACAGAGAGTTTGAAGGACGCGTGTTGGTCTGTGAGCTTTATAGGAATGACTCGCTGCTCACACAGAACTGAATCTTAACATCAGACTCTTGGAAAGAAAACAAATGAGCACATTTCCCGAGATGTGAAACGGTTTCCTTCAACCAGTGATTTTAGTTGATCTGTGGGGGTGGTGGTGGTGTTTGAGGGGGAGGTTTCCATCAGATCATTTTTGGATGCTTTAGGGTGTTTTTGCACATCAAATCAATGTTTTCTAAGTTTGAATGTAGATTGCAATACAAAATGTTATCAATGATAACATGAGATTAAATGTAGAGCCTATATACTGTACGATGGAGTGTATGTACAGTATATAAAACACTTCTTTAGGTGTACAAAGAACTCTGGGAGGTGGTTTTATTAACTATAAATGCAAGTTGTAGTTTGATTCTTTAGAGTATGGATCGGATAATTTTAATGTCAGAGGAAATGTGATGATTCGTATTTGTTTTTCACGTGTTACGACGCTACGTTTGCAAAGAGATTCTCTGTTTGTATCCAGATCCTTTCACAGAGACGTTTACCAAAGCACTGTTTGATCAACACTGATTTTCTTCTGTTAGTGAAAAAGCTCAAAGTGTCAGATGGGAGTCAGATCTCTGCTGTCCCGACTTTCCCTGCTCATCCCGAAACACTCAAACCTGGAAGGTGAGAGTTTGGAATTGGGTTGGAGTGCTGACATCTGGATCTGTGTTGTGTTCACATGCTTCAGTCGTTGGTCAACGAGGATATTTTAATTTATTCGTCCGGTTTGTTCTGTTTGTTTTTTCACCGTAGATTCCAAGATGTGAACGAGCGGTTCAGGTTGAATTTTTGGGACCAGCTGTATCGTACTGTGTAAATCTTTTAACTACCGCTTTACGCGCTTTTCTTTACGCACCCCTCAGCATTCACAGAAGCAGTGAAGGACGCAGACGTCTGGACCGACGTGTCAACACTAAAGAGATCCGACCAAAAGTGGAGCAGGAATTGACTCAGAATTATGTTAGAATGGATTTATATGGAGCCTGGAGTGTACCAGTGGAATAATGTGACTCGTAAATTAATTCAAAATGTGTATATAAACTAGCTGCTGTCCCAGGTAATGACTCTGTGTATTGTCTGGAAGGATAATGAGCGAACTTTAGAAGTGCCTTTTATTTAAAAATAGATACTTTGTTAAATGCGATATTACTGATTCCTCCAGTCTCTTAAATTCAGCTCCCATAATGATCATAATCAACACCATCGGTCAGTCTGACGGTGTGGATTCATTTCCCAGTGGGTGTTGGAGTGTTTGCTGTTCTTCTACCGATCTAATATTTATTTTTAGTCCTACCCACGCCTGTTTATTGCACACTACCAGTTTAACCTTTTTTCTCTTTAAGCAGCACAGTTCAGGTTGTAATCTGGAAAGTATGGAGCGAATGAGCAGCAGGTGAGCTATAGCTGTGGCTATCTAATCAATCCTTAATTGATATACTTAAGATGTATATTATTTCACTGGGACACTTGAGACTCCATATTTACAGCTGTAGTTCCACGACACACGTGCATACTAATTTATACTTTCCTACCACGTTGCACACAAAGGTAGAAAAGAGAACAGGTAGCTGTCAGGTGACGATGCAGACTTTCAGTAGTTTTTAATTTATCATTTTGTGTACATTTGGTTTGATTTGAGCAGAAATGTTTTCTAATGAGATGGATAAGGAAAATGTGTATCTACTGAGGAATAATGCTGTTTAATATTAGGGGCAATACAAAGTACGGTAAATAAACACACTGATATCTTAATAGAGAGATTGTGAAGGTGTTTAATGTACGGAGGTAAATAAAGACTTTTCTTTAAAATGTTTTTATTCCGATTCGTGTTTTTGATAATGAAAAGACACTTTTACATTAAAGGATCAACTTCAGATTTATTCACAAAACAAAGCCTGACAGTTAGGAAAAGAGAGATTTTGCACAGAGTGAAAGAACAATTGTGGAGTTTGCACTGGTAGAGCCGTTACTAACACACATGTAAGCATAAAGAGCTGCTCAGACATTTCCTATCGACTCTGAGCTTTAAACACACCACCGAGCAGATAAAGACAATAAAAATGTAACTTCTAAAGGAAGCAAAGAAGTGACTGGGTTGTAATACATAAAGATGTTAATGCCATTTTGTGTTCATTATTTTCACCATGAGAAGTATCAGGATAAATGGGAAAGTTATACAGTGACAAAACTAACAACTTTGCTGCTCCTACCAATAACAGCCACCAACACCAACAGCAGGATTTTGGCTTATCCAGGTAACTTGAGACTAAACCTGGGTTTTAGTATTACAAAGGTGGTTCAGCAGCCGCGGTGCTTTCAGTCTGTTTTGTGTTTAACCACCTCAGATTTTTCTAGTAGTGCACTACATAAAAATCAGTCACTGCTGCCCACGTGATCATGCTATTAGCTATGTTATCAGCTTGATAACAACCTTCGTGTGACTGCTTGGCCTGATTGGGGCTGTCGGGGTTCGTGAAGCCAGACAATGGAAAGATATCCTGCATTTAACTTGTACAAGTACAAGGCCTGAATGATCAGTTACGAATACCCGCAAACTAAAACGATGCACTGTAGTGCAGCCGGGATATGAAAGCAGAACGACTCAGACAAACAAAGCAAACACAGACAAACTTTTCTGCATCCTCTGGAAGGTTTCTATTAAAGTGCATCATAGTTTTCTTTGAGTCAGACGAAAAAACAAACAAATATCAGCATCATGGAGCAACACATCTGGACTAAAGTGGCTTCAGTACATCAATAACAACAGCGCCCCCTACTGGAGAAAGGTTTACCACCCTGCCAAATCTTCAGTTTTTCATAAAACTTGGTGTTAATGCAAAAACAAAAGAAGCCTCAAACATGCATAATCTGACATGTTCTACATTTACATGTTTATTTAATGTTTGATTTCTCCAACTTATTTTTTGAAATGTAGAAATCTAAAATATTGGAGTAATGGCTAAAATATTTATCGCCTTATTAATTATTGTGCAAATTTAGCTTTTTTTACACTTCAAGAAATGACAGACTGCATTTACAAGACACCTGAACTTGCTATATATGTGAAGGGAAAACTTATTTAGTTTTTGGGGGCTTTTTAGAGACAGGACAGCCGGGTGGGTTGGGTGGTGGCGGGCGGACATACAGTCGATGGCCTCAGGGCAAAATCGGGCCTCTGCAAATACCCTCGTTACACCCCAGGAAGCTACAGCGACGCCTTAAAACTTGGATTTTCACATATTTTCTGTAAATCGGGACGTAATAATCATGTAGTCAAGGTAACGTATACAGAGTGCATGATGTGGACGATGCAATAGCGACATAAATTTAAAAAAGTCACACATTACTGCGGTTATTAGACACTAACATACACGTGATGGAAATATAGTGCAATTTGAAAAGTTATGGCCTCTCCTGATAAGAAGTATTTTTAAAGTGCCAACACTCAAGACTTAAAGCCTCGTCCGATTGCTAACGTGTCACAAAGGAGACCAGTTTGACAGAAAGACTTCTCCTGCCACACCGTCAGCTCATGGATGTCCTGCAGGGGGCGTCTGAGCATGCTCAGAAAATCCTCGGTGGGTGATTAGAGGCTATTCTGTAAGGCTCAGTTAACTGATAGCGGCTGGACGGACCGTGCTCTGCACATGAAGTAATAAAACTAAAACACAATGATTGAATCACATTGATTAACTGCTGATTAAACCTGCACTGGTACTCTTCATGTTACTGTAAAGAAAATAATGAACGAATAGGCTCTGGCCGTCAGTATCAGCTCTGTTCTTCACCGCTCTGCTCCACTAAGTATTTCCCTTATAAATCTCCTTCAGTGCACATGGTTTATATCTAATCCCATTTACACCGATGCTCTCAACATAGAAAGCATTTAGACCGGTTTAAATCTTGTTGCCGGTGTGAAGCCCAGCAGGCTCCTCATGAGGTCAAATATAAGCACATTCACAGACCAAGCCCTTCAGCAACGTTGCCTCTCAGATCTGTCAGTTAGCATCAGTTCCCTGTCCACGTCCCCTATGTAACTAGAGCATTAAATGGCACTCTTGTTTCGTCAGCTTCCTCCTCTATGACGATCCTCCGATCGGACCTGTCAGGACAGAAAAGTAGCCGCAGCAGCGCTAACCCGAGACGCACCAAAATCCTCAACACTAGAAAAGCAAAAGGCACCGTGATCTCCATCAGGTGGAAAATCGGGGCACTAAATTTACTCAAAATGCACGTGAGGAAAAACGTCCCCAAAGCTATGCAGGGGTACAGAGCCAGCTTAGCTAGCATAAGCACGTGCTCACGTCCACCATATCGCACGTAGGGGTGCAGAGTTTCCTGTTCGTTGTACAGAGCGACCACCCAAATGGCGAGCTGAAAAATACCGGCGAAGAAAATGATCACACAGCTAATCTGAATGGCTTCCAGCTCATTGTGAGAGTTGGGCGGGAACTCGTGCGTTAGCTGGTAGGCTAACGGTAAACCTCCGACGAACGCCAGCGAGAAGGTGTTCAGCAGGCCCATGAAGCGCGTTGCCTTGGTGACATGGAGGAAAAGCGAGTGATGGACAAACCAGAGAAGGCCGACGGTGGCGAAGGAACCAAAGTAGGCGAGGTACTCGGGGCCGTAAAGCCGCAGAGCCGCTGTCAGGCTGCCGCCAAACTGCTTCTGCACGACTGTGGGATCTGGGACGTTGTCCTCGCTAGAAGGAAAGAACCGGAGAAGTTAAACATTAGAAGGTTTTTCCAATTATAACCTTTGTATTACATTTAACCCACACTAGAAAATGTAACAGAATCACTGCTACTCAGAGAAGTTTATACAAAACTGATTTTTGAAGTATTTTTAGTGAGTGTATTAAAGATACAGATGCCAACTCTGAGATTTGTGACCTCGATTGGAAAGTTCCTGATTTTGAGTCTTAACATCCAACAAAAAATTGTAGTTATGAATAAAAATACTGTAAACTGGTGCAAATTTAGACAGTTTAAGAGATGCCACAAATGCAGAGGTGCCTAATCGTGCATTCTATCTGACGACCACCAGATGGTGACAGCTGTGGCTGCAGGATGACTCGGCTTCCTATAGAAGTTTATGGCCTCAACATTCATAAACATTTTCTTCCCCTCGTTGTCACACTTGGTTTTTCTGCAATCAACATTGGAAGCTCTCATTTCAAGGCTTCAAAGCGGGACTTAAAAAACCAATCGGTGACATCGCGGTAAATATGCCCATCTTTTACACTGGTTAGAAAAATCTAGGTATTGCTCATATTTACTAAAACGTGTCTATGTTGTAAACTTTGGTCAGTCTAACTTTCAAAGAGGGGCTTCATCAAAGGTGTGTGCAGCTTCGCAGCCACAACACGCTCGATAAACTGCAGACGTCACACCGTCTACATCAACTGTTTCCTTTTTCCCCCTTATGTAGGGGCCATGACGTCTTCTGAACATTTCTTTGACAGGATTTAGTCCGAACATTCGGGGGAATTTATTAAAGGACATCATCATGCTAAGAAGTTCATCATTATGAGCAACTCTTGGTACGTCACCAGGCTCTGATCTTTACACTGAAGTCAAAAATACTTTTCTTCGACCATTTCCTTCATTTTTTTTTTATGCCAAATTAGTTTTTTTAACCTTAGATTTTCATAGTGGACTATTTAAATGTTCAGATCATCCAAATGACCAAAAAACTGACTCAATTCCTCTGACAGTAAAACAGGCCCCTCCCAAAGGATATTTGAAAGTTGCACAGCCGATAAAGCTGAAACGAACCATATGTCCAAGATGAGAAGCGTTGCTACGATGGCATAAACTCCGTCGCTGAAAGCCTCCACTCGTTCTTTGCTGAGGGGTTCGTTAGGCAGGTAGGTGTAGAACAACATGGAGTCTGGAGTTTCCTCCACCTGACCTGAAATGGACGAGGGTTGATTGGTACAAAGGCCAGAGGTCAGCACTTATTTACAGTTCCCGTACGGTCCGGCTCTTACCGATGGCTTTGCTGCGACACCACTTCAAACACTGGGAGATGTAAGGCAGGAAGATGACGATGGCCAAGAGAACGTAAGACTGAGGAAGAAATGAAAAAGTGATACTGGGAGAGTGTTTCTGACCAGCTTTGGATTTGTTACTTTATTCACTGGCAAACAACAAAGAAATGTGAGAGCGGAGATCACCTATAATCATAAAATAAGACATTTATATATTGTCCATTTTTAAAATATGAAGGAAATAAATGTAGCAGCACCAACCAGCTGGAAGAAGATGAAGGAGAAGATGCTGGCGAAGAAGCACATGATGGGAACCTTCATGATGACTTTGAGGATGTGGTGTTTGTAGAAGGTCTGGTTCTCTGAGATCTGGATCTGCTCATTCAGGAGGAAGGGGCGGCTGAAGGCGTACAACACAATCACCGACTACAGAAACAAGACACACGGGATTACAACGTACGCAAACCGCCCTGCAACCACAGGCTTCAGCCGCCCAACACCTTAAGGCAGATAAATGGTTCAATGAAGTTAGGAAACTGAACAGAGCAGCAGACTTACCGAAGGATGACAATCTAACGTTTAAGTTTCTCACCTGAATGACGCCGATCACCATCACACAACCACAGAAGAGTAAAATCCCGAGGATGTTCTCAGGAAAGGTCGCCATTAAAGAAAACTGCAAAGTGTAGATGACACCACTGAATGAGAGCGTCGTTCGTTCAGCAGTGACTGATTCTGGGTCAACAGTTTCACACACTCAGACTCACTGTGTAGGGGAGGAAGGTTATCAGCATCATGCAGGCCTGAAATAGAAGCAAAAGCAGAAGTTCAGACTAAAAATGACCAAAATACTCTAAATGATGTGACTGCTGACAGAAAACACCATGAAATTTGAAGCCAATTTATACAGGCCTATAGTCTCTGCTCAGCCTAACTGTAAGCATAAGGTGAATTTAAGTAAGAGTATATGCACATGTAAGTCTCAAGTAACATCTTGTCCCTGCTTCGTGGGACAAACAACATGCAGACATGGATAAAAAACAAATAAGGATGCATGTCACCTGATCAAAAAAACAGACATCAGTATGCATTCATTATCATCCTTTCATGAGATAAACAAAACCTGAGATTATCTTGTAGGCAGGCTTAAATTACAAATTTAAAAAATGACATTATCGTTTTGAAAACACTTTAAGTAATTTTTATACTTACGAGGTTCAGAAGTGCGAGACAGTCATCGATACGAACAACAACTTGAAACAACCTGAAGATAAACGAGGAGAGAAAGAATGAAAACGGGCGTCTTAGAAATAACTAGTACTATGATACTATTAGTACTAATACTATTACCACTACTACTAACCTGATATGAGCAGCCCAGGCAACAGTCACAATGAGGAATGTCATCAAGTAAACGCCGATCTTTGTGGTGAGTAGACCCTGAAGACTCTCCCTCAATTCCTGCAATACAAGATTTTACAGCATTTTCCTGTTATAGGTCCTTAATGTGAATTAAGATAGTTTAAAACTTCCAAAAGTAACTAAAGTTATCATCAGAGAATGTTGGAGAAGCAACCTGGAAGATCATCCAGTTCAGGTTGCAATTTGGTGTAATACCATTTTGTACCAAAAGATGGTGCGATGAGTCAGTGTAGCCTTTATTCAACCAGCAACAAATCATTAGAAACACATTTACAATGGCGTCCCGTCAAAGCCTCCTGAAGAAAATAAGGGTGGGGCTAAAATTCACCGTCAAAAACAAAAACAGGCGTCACACATCTGAAAGCATTTCAGTGTAACCACAGGAGAAACACTGCCCCCTGCTGGTGACGATTTTATTTACAGTTTGCAGAGTGTAAATACAAACAATACGTTAACTTGTTATTACATTTACTGCAAAATCAGAAGCTGCATCAGAAAGCTCAGCTGAATAACAAGGATATCACGGCTTTGCTAAAACTTGAAATACGTTTTTAAAAAGTCCGACGTTACCTCATTATTTTCCACTTTGGTGTGAGCAACAGGTAAAATCTGTGGATAAATGAAACTGTATCAGGAGACAGATCAACTCAAACATACAGTGCTGCACATACACAGATATGTTAGACTCTTAGATCAGCGTGTTTGGGGCCAGGAGACCCAATTAGCAGTAATGAATTAGGCAGAAATCTTTCTATAAGTGTTATTTATTTATTTTGAAATTAATTGGAGTTTTCACTGTTACAGATTTTGCAGATAAGATTTTTTTCTCTTCCTGTCTCAGTGTGATGGGTCTGACTATGACAGTAAAACAACAGTTGAGAGAAGAAGCTCCATGAATTGGAATATTTGCGTATCTGCGCTTCACTGTGAATTTTCTATTCCGTGGGACTTTTTGCTGTTTGGTTTTGCTTCTTCTGTTGCAAATACTGTATCACCTAAATGTTGTGACTGTGTTGCAAAGCTCGGCGTGTTTCCTACCATGACAGTGGCGATAATGGAGATGAGAGCATCGCTGTAGGCCAGCAGTCTGTGGGAGGACTGGGTGCTGCTGTGGCCCTCTCTCTCGGACGGACTGACGCTCTCCAGGAAGGAGGAGGAAGCTGTGTAGCTCCTCGCACCTTTCTTCTCCATCTCCTCCTCGACGTGATGCTCTATGATGTCGCTGTCGTCGTTTTCCCCCATCCTGGAGGAGCTGCTGGGGAGTGCTGCTCATCCACACACAGCGGACAGACAGCTGACTGAAGGCGGGGAAACAGGAAGCAGCAGCCCGGCTGGTTTCCTGTTCTCACCGGAGATCGTCTGTTAAAGCGAGAGGAGCCACTCGGGGTGAGAACTTTGTAATTTTTGTGTTTCTGATCTGGCGTGGTCCACAGTGGTTTTATTTGAGTGTGTTAGAAGCTGCCTTCTGATGTGGGTCTTAAAACCACTTAAAGTCACCTGACCGGGCCTGTTTGTGGTTTTGGTGCCTTTTAATCAAATTAACTGAATAACAATTTGACACCTTGTGTCTGACTGGACCAACAAACCGTTACTGTTGCCATTAATTAGCAGGTATTTGCACCTGTGACCTGCCATTCTAGCCAAGCAGGCCACGGTGAACTTTAACCTCTTTGTCAGAACCTGCAGCTTCACATAAAAGGCCAAAAGCAAAGTGGACTCTTCAAACAGCAGCCACCAAATCAAACTGTGGCTGTGTTCATTTTGCTTTAAATGCAGGTTATGATATTGCATAAGATCCTGTTCACAGAGCTGCTGATGTTCAGAAAAGGTTGTTTTACTGTAGAGTCAAACATATGGCTATTCAAACATTTTACATTTATTCATTCGTGCTGACTGATTTCTTTTATTTACTACAGCAGCATTTCTTTATCGTGTAGAGAAGCTGAGACCTAGTGCTGAAGCTGCACTTCTTTTTTCTTATTTTAAGATATCCCAGGGATTTTAATTGTGTAGTTAATTATCCTTACACTCACACAAAGGGGAGTTTTACTGTTTTGGCCCACTTAAGATCAAAGTGAGCTGCATGTGGCCCACAACAGTCTGACATCCCTGATGAGTAGTCAAACTCCACATCAACAATGGCCACTGGAAAGGACTTTTAATTAGCAGTTATTGTTACCACGAGCTTTCAGGGGAGCAGAGTAGCTCAACCAGCTCAACTTTAAGATCCATATTTCCCACACAGTAACTCGACTAGATCACCTCTGCATGACTCAGTTCATATTAATGCTATATAATTATTTCTGTTCTGGACCCTGGTGCAGCTACCATAATCCGTCTGAAACGAGCAGTTTTAGCCCCTCCCCCTTTAAGCCAACATTTTGATAATTGGCTGCCCCCACAAACACCTGTGTGGTCCTGTGCTGCTGTGACATGACCCTATTAGGGTTTTTTGATGCCACAGAATAGAAAAAAAGCGTCTATGAGAGAAAAATAAGGAAAAAACAAAACAGATATGTTAACTGACTTTAAATATATTGAGCCGTTTAATTTTAGATGCTGGTCTCCCTTAAAGAGGCATGACGAATCTAAGATATTCTAACCTCTCCTTAATATTTAAATGTCTTAATTTCTTACTTTTGATGTGTGTTGCTTTGGGATGCACCCGATAAATTAATCTTTAATTTAAGGTCAACTAAACATTCTGTATTCCAGACATTATTATTTAAAAGCTGATTCCTTAATCTAAAGGTTTTTGAAGTGGGGGGTTCAGTGGAAGTTTCTGATATGGATGAGTTTGCAGAAAACCGGCTGAAGGCTGTTTACAATCTTACACATGTGAGGCTCTTTTGCCTCTAGAGGGCGACATTACACCATAACTGCTGAAGAAGGTCGCAGGTCCGTTTTTTTTCATGAGGAATCCACCTGTTGTGCTGCAACTCTACCCGGCTTACAGTGATGTCATGTCACTGTAGCTCATGTCTGCATCCATATGCGATGATATAGGTCCGATCATTTATTGCTCTCTATTTATAGCAGGACTTTGCTTCTGGTTTACATGTATTATTTATTTATATTTATAGCATTTACAGTAATAATTTAAATACATTTCCTGGCTTATTGGAAACAGAGCTATTTCCCACTTATTCATATTCAAGCACATTTTGATTGAATATGAATATTTCTTTTAATTACTGTCCCCCTGCTGTTTTGCATTCTTGCTTTTCCTTCTTCGTGTCTTTTGGCATCGTCTCAGCCTCGGGCTTCACAGCAGCGCTACAACCTGGGGTCAGGAACAGCATGCCAAAGCCTGAGGAGAGTCTAGAGTCTTGAGTCTGGCTCTGGTCCCATGTTTTTCCACTGGTCTTAAAGAACCCCAGGTTCGGCGACTGCAGCCAGTGCCTCTGGCAGTGCCTGGGGCTGTCGCTCCTAATGACATCTCAGCATCCAAGGCTCTCCATCCTCAACACTGTTCATGCAAATGTGTACTAGATCTCCCCACTGACACAACACGATCCATGGATTAAACCAGCAGCCAGCCATTTGAGAGGGTGGTAAGTAAGATTTCATCTGCTGAAAAATGGCTTCACATTAGCTGCAGGGGGACTGATCACTAGTACCTGAGTTTTAGTGATGTGCTGCCCTGCATTTAAAACACAAAACTCCACACGTGTTCACATAAAGACAATTTTCTATCTACAGCCAAACAAGGCACTGCATAAATTAGTCCGTCTGCTTTTCACACATAACATATAATATTAACAGTTTGGCTCATTGAGGTTGGGACAGACAGACATACATGTGCACCTGCAGTAAATATGACCTTATAAAAGAGGAGAAAGTAGAGCAACAGTTTTAACGGCATTCCCCTCCTGCTGTACCTGAACACACCTTCCTCATTCAGTCAATATCAACGTTCATTAGCTTTAGTTTACATCACTGCAACCAATGAAATCCCATTAAGATATTAGTTTCTTGTTATATTTAGCACAAGTCTTTTTATAATCAATCTGTCAACACAGCAAACACAAACAGCGATCAGAGGATGATCGCTCAAAGTAAAATCTGAATTCTGCGTCTTTCTTGCTGTGTGAGGCTGCTGTCAAGTTGTCATCCAGTTCCTCTGGACTGAAACATCCAACATATGTTACTATAATCAGTTTCACGTTGAAATATCTTCACATGATGACACATAGTCACGAAGTGATCTTGCACAACATTTTGAAAGATGGAACCCTGACTGTCGACATCATTTCCTCTTAATCACAGAAATCTGTTGGATGCACATTTGTATCTTCAGTTGCAATCGCCTGCATTTCCCTGTCACGTTACTGCTGAATAATTAAATTACATATCAAATGCAATCTGTTAAGATTAAAAGGATGACTGAGTGGGCGATGCTAAATCAAACATAAATAAATAAACATCATGTTTCATGTGGACAAACATTCATGTTCTTCGGTCCACTTGAGCAAAACGGTGTCAGAATTTGCTGAACCTGCTTCCTGGTTCAAGGATGAAAGGAAAATCTCTTCATGAACAGAAAAAAGTCCAGATTCTAAAATAATTTTCTTAAAAGTGAGTCTTAAAAGTTAGAACAGCATAAATCAGTATAACAATCAGCAGTTTCAATTTTATAGACATGAAGGGGTCGAGCTGAATAATTTTTAGGTCACCTCACATGCACTGAGTGTATCAGAGCTTTTGTTGTCACTGCTGTTAGATGATAGGTTATGGAGCCAGGCAGAAAACCAAAAATTGATCTGTGAGATGCAAGAATAGTCTGACTATTTAAGAGAAACTGCAGGTTCAGATGGGTTTAACTCTACAAGACACCCTTTTACCCTGAAATTATGTCGCTCCATTGGTAATATAAAAATAATTACTAGTATGCTTCATAAGCAGAGTGAAGCTGACCCCCCACCCACTTGAAACGTAAAGGCAAATAGGCGGAGCGGTTAGTGCTACGTTTGTGCTGATTTGTGCAGGTACAATAAGCGTTTGTGCTGCTGCGGTTTTTGAGATATTAAACTTTATTTTATAGGTCATTCAAAGGTCACCATCCCCCCCAGGCTGCTCCAAAACAGACCAAAATGAGCGACTTTTTTAGTGCTACATTTGTGCTGGTTTGTGCAGGTACAATTTTTTTTGTACCTTTTTATGCTCTTGCTCTTGACGAAGGCGGTCGCACTTTACTCCTCCTCTCCCTTAGCGTCCCTGCTTAGCCTCTTATGTCCCCTATGTAACTAGTTTCATAGAAACATTGTTTCTCAAAAAGTGTTCATGGGAGTGTAAAATGTTCAAATGTAGTTTTCAAAAAAGTTATTTTAATACACTCTAAAAAAATAAATACTCAAGCATTTGCATCGTAGTTTTATGAACGAAAAGTGATTGAAGTAAAGAAATTGAAGTAAAAAAAAACAAACAAAACTACACTCATTACAAATTTAGCTGATTAAATACAATAAGAGTTTGGGTTTTTTTAACAGAACTTTATTGAACAAGTGAACACAAAGCGAAAGGTCATTTGAAAAAGACATTTTTCAGCAGTAACACCATAACAGCATATCTCATATCATAGCAGCACAAATGCTAATTTTACCTGTACAAACCAGCACAAATGTAGCACTAAAAAAAGTCGACCATGTTGGTCTGTTTCGGAGCAGCCTGGGGGGATGGTGACCTTTGAATGACCTATAAAATAAAGTTTAATATCTCAAAAACCGTAGCAGCACAAACGCTAATTGTACCTGCACAAATATGCTCAAACATTTGCCTTTACGTTTCAAGTGGGTGGGGGGTCAGCTTCACTCTGCTGTATTATGAAGGAAATGGCTTGTAGAAATAAACTGTTGACTAAATTTCTAGCAAAATAACTTAAATTTTCATCCCATACAATGTATAACACTCCCATTCTGGCATGTAGAGTCAGTATTATAGAGATTTTTATCTGACTAGATCATCTGTCCTTGCAGGCCTTTCATTGCAGCTTTTATCTTGTCCCTGGTTAGTCACATTACAATCAAGCAAACCAATCGAGACAGCACAAAGGAAGTGAAGGTTGAAGCGAGTGGCTGACATAAAAGCCCTTTTTACTCTTTCCAAGAGACACATTTAATGAAAGAGGGGATAGTCGCTGCATTCAAATGTAGCTTAGCAACTAAGAGCTGCCAGCGACCACATAGTGATGTGTTTGTGAGCAAATCAGAAGACGGGCAAGTCAAATCACCACTTACTCAAGAAACCAAACATTATGGTGCCATTTTCGACATCGTCAAAGAAAAATGAGTGAAATGCAATGCTTATAAATGTTTGACTCTAAAATAAAAACACCTGCAATTATCATGTCGAAATGGCTCAAGAAGTGTCCTGATTACACCCCAGATTTCTGACAAACTTTCATAATCTATGAAGCTATGGTTAAAAATTACTGATCAGTGTTTAGTTTAAATTGTTTTACTATAGTAACAAAATATCAAGTGC